ATTTTGATCGAAATCAATTCAAACTTTCTACACAACATAATAACATGTATATGCATCATAAAATATAATAAAAAATGAGAATTCTCTACTTTTCATTTTTGACCCCCCCTGCCCAACAACCCTGTACTATAGTACAGGAACTTAGGCAAAATTTTTGAGCAACTTTAAAAATTAGTAAAAAAAATATAATTTTGATCAGAATCAGCCCAAACTTTCTACACAGCATGAAAACATTAATGCGTATTGGTTACATAGGAGTAAATAAATAATCAGCTTTAACTAAATCACTTATAATCAAATTAATAGGTGACTGCAAAGATTAATGTAGCAGCTTAGCAGTTTACAATGAAGAAGCATTGCAAAACGTATGCAAATATAATGTGACAATAAAAATGACTAATTTTGCTAAATTAAAATTAAAATTTTGATAAAATACAACAAACTATAGTAAAGGGAGCGGCTGGTTGTATAGAGAGGAGAGGGTCCAGTACAAGCAGGAGGAAGACAAGTATCATTTTCTGGTTCAAACACCACATACCAGCAACCTCCTACTGTAATGTCACAGTTCTCATTCTGCCCTACTGACAACAGATACTAAACAAGAGAGAATTTAATAATCATATATGAGTATCAATTCTGTATGTGTAGTATCAACTATTACAAATAGAGCAAGGCAGCTTCAATATAAGACAAAACACTACAACTGTGTCTATAAAATATTAGCATAAATTGGTATAAGTCTATCATGGGTTGTGCTTATAATCATAATTCATTAGTCGTATTACAAGTACATGTAAAAGTACATATAACGTCAGAAGTACATGTACATGTACTGGTAGACACTATAGGTACTTTATATGGTAACGTCAGTTAAGGTTTGGGGACTTGGGATATTACAAAATGTCCTAATTCTTTTTAAATGTCCTCATTCTATGTACAATAAATGCTAGCCTGGTTCCATTGTACAACTTACAGTAAGATCAAATCTTTGATTGATTCTATCTTTCAGCAGCAACTGCTACATGTATGTCTTTTTGACTGGCCCGTCAATTTCATGATGTGATCTCCAAGTTCTTGACATCACACTATAAGAAAAGAGAGACAGACAGAGAGAGAAGAAGAGAGAGATGAATAATTAGCAGTCCATACAAACAAATGATTAATAGACAACCAACAATATTCACTTACAGAAATGAAGCTACATGTACATGTATTAACAAACAATTGGAGCTCATCATTATGTACATTATAAATGTATGATACATTGCACATTAATAGATACACCCTTCCTTCTCCCATACCTTCAAACGACACTTTAAGCAGAGAAAGCTAGTAGTCTCGCGTAGGAACTTAAATAAATCTATGTACAATAGAAAATGTCCAACTGCTTAGATTCTCCTAAAGGTCATGTATGACTGGAACAGCACGTTCTCTTTAATAAGTGACATCTATGACTCAGAAACAGCTAGCTCTATACAATACATTATAATTATGAAACCTTTAAAGGCACTATTTTTATAGTTTTATAATAGGTTCACTCTCCTTACATCTCAGTACTAATCACAGTATCGGATCTAAGGTATTAGATCCTGTGGCTCCATGCAGCTCCAGACATTCTTTGGCAAGAGATTTTGTCTTCCAGTAGTATCAGCAGTCTTGTCTTCTCTTGTCATCCATTTTCTCAAATCTCAATTAAGTTTTTATGAGCTACACCTACCTAATTGAAATGGAACTTATGGAAGCTATGATTTTACCTAGGATTTTACAGTTTATACTGGAGATTTTACTTAATTTTCTCTGTCTCTATCTCTCTCTTTCTTTCTCTCTTGTTTAGGATTAAAGTCCCATGACCTGTACATTACTGTACAGTTGGATCAAGAGGAAGTGTATAGGACATCAATAATAGAGACTGAGGACATTAAAGTATGTGGAGTACAACTGTATGTACATACATGTACACTATACACTGGAGCCTGGCTAATATTGGATGGGATTAATATACTGTAGCTGGGTACTTAATACATTTGTAATGACTGATTGGGTTTAATGTATTGGGGGAACTATGTCCTTGTGCATGTGCATAATGGAGATTGAAAATTGGTCTTATGTTACCAAATTTTAGTTTTATTTATTCATTTTATTTTTATCTGAAAATTACCCAAGGCTACAGCACATAAAAAATGGCCCCAAAATTACTCAAATTTTTATTACATATTCTGATACATATTGATGTCCTTAGCAGTGTAGCAAGTTTGAATTTCAATCTTTAAAGTTAATTATGGCCATTTTATAAAAATGCCAAAATTTTGTAAAGTATTTAATTATAGCTCATAAAAATGGCTCTGAAATTAACCCAAATTTTCATCATATTTTTTGATACACACTAATGCCCTTATGCTATGTAGAAATTTTGAGTTGATTCCAGCTTCATATTTTCAAGTTACGTCCATTTTTATAAAATCCCAAAATTCTGAAAAATACCCAAGGCTATAGTCTTGGGTTTTTTTCCCAATAATGACTCCAAAATCACCCCAAATTTTTATTACATTTTTTGATGCATTTACATGTACATGTACTTATGTTATGTAGAACGTTTGAGTTAATTACAATCAAAATTGAATATTTTTTTACAGTTTGAAAGTTGTTCAAAATTGTGTGAAACTCCCTATACTATAATGGTCTTGGGCTAAGTTTTGCTAAAATTGAAAAGGATAAAATTCAAGCCCCATGCTTCTGTACCCAACATCCTACCGACTCAAAACATACCAGTATGAAGGACTGGGGTATTATTATTATTATTATTATTATTATTAATTTTACATGTATATCATTTCTAATTATATGTTGTACAATTAAAGTGATATTGAAATGATTTGTTGTCACCTTTTGTGGGCGGGACTAGCAGAAGTGTATCACATGCTAATTGATCAGAATAAGATCATGAAAATAATGTATATCAAAAAATAATGGAATTAACAAATAGAAATAACAGATCAGCCTCTTATGTAAAGTGTATTCCGATGGTTGCTTGTTTTTGGTGAAGATACACAAGTTCACATGAAGAGTGATTAGTCCCAGTCTACTCTGTCTTGTATGAGGTGATAGTTAGGATAAGTATTAATACAAGTCTCTTTGTGTCGATAGTCTAGCCAGAGTGACCTTATCTCCTTATTATCCATTAGTGACTGGAGGATGAGTAGTATTGACTCAGTAGACAATGAAGTCTTCCTTAGATTCAGTTCATCTAGTGATGAGTTATTGAGGAGGAGGTGAGAAAGAGCCTGTCCACTAGTAGAAGTGATGAGAGGATTATCAGTAAGAACTAATGAGGTAAGTGTAGAGTTGTGTTCAAGTGCTTGACAGATATTAGTAACTCCTCTATCACTAATGGAGTAGAAACTGATGTCTACTTCTTGTATTGTTTTATTATTAGTTAGTAGTATACACAAGTACTGGATACCATCATTAGTTAATGGAGTGGCCCATATCTCAAGTCTCCTCAGGTTTAGTGTATGCAGTTTAGTTGATGATAGTAGAGATATTGTGCTATTAGTAGATGAATAGTCAAGTTTAATCTCTTCATGATTACTATTAATATTACTAATCACTTCATTACACTGAATTGGAGAAGGGGAGGAAAGGTATACCCTGTTCCTGTACCAGTTCACTCTCCCAGTGGATCCTAATATAAACCAATGAGTTATACTTATATACATGTATGTACATAATAATACACATATTCACATCAAGTGTACAAAATACACAATGCATATGTACATACATACACACATGTAATGTGTACATATGTAGGGACAGAAATATAATGTATAAAATTACATGTACATTGTACTTGCTACATACACAAGTATGCATGTACACATGACATTACATGTTCATCAATGCTTATACTGACTGTCACAATAATCACAAATATTACCTTTATCATGTTGTTCTTTGTCTTGTCTCAGTGCAGATATCATAATAGGATCATCATTAATAGTCTCCAAGAAAAGAGATACTTTCTCGTCATTACTAGATAAATCATTCCTTATCTTCTGTAGATTAGGAAGGGACACTTCTTCCACTGACAGTATAAATTCAAACAATTGAAGTGACTCCAACATTGAGTAAACACAACTACTAGGAATACGTCCCTCATCACCAGACGCCAAAGATCTTCCCCTCCACTCAAATCTATCAGACTTGCCATATATCTCCAGCTCCTCTCCCTCACTGAATGAAAGATGATGACTATATCTTCCACAATAGTCAATACGTGCTTTGTAAATAGATTCTGCTGTTGGTGACTGTGTACACTGATCATTCTCTATACAATATATCAATCAGTTAATGATTTATTTATACTAACATATCACATACTCTCAATATTTCCCTTTTCACTCATCAGCAGTTGTACGCTAGTTCTTGATATATTTTCTTGTAGTAACTCAATCTCTTTCTTATACTCCACTAATGCCTCCTCTCTTCCTGTGATGAGGTAGTATAGACAGATTATACCAGTAGAGTCAGTACCTGCTTTCATTAGGAGAGAGGTTCGGAAATACTGAGTCTCTGATATTCTTGATTTGAATATTTCATTAATCAACTTCTCTCTAGTCAGTAGCTTCACTTTCAGTTTAGACTCTACAGTAATAACACAATTAGAATGTAATAATTTATAAGATAATTGTACTCATTGTGCAAATAATTATCAAATGCACATTACTTTAATACATGCTGCTTTTGTTTATCTTTACAATAGAACTTGTAAGTCAAGTTATAGCAAGAAAATAGGGCTCAGGTCAACACAAATGGACTTTAGTACTATACCTGGTGTCTGTAGTGTCCTTTCAATATACTCTATACAAATAAAAATATATTAATAAAAATCTTCATCATTCACTAACTATACCTTTTCTTCTTTTGATAATATTTAATAGTTTATCTTGTTCAAATATTGATCCTATACCATTAGTATAAGTAACATCAGTAATTGAGTAATAGATCAACTCACAAACCTTCTTTGTAATCAAGTAAAGTCCTCAGTTCTTGTTCCTCTCCATCAGCTAGTTTAATCTCCTCTGAAAG